CCTCCTCCTCCTCTCTCTCTCTTTCTCTCTCTCTCACTCTTCTTGATCCTTTTTTCCTCTTTACTTCTTTACTGCCATGCTACCCTAGGCTTCTTTATCCCTCCCCTCTCCTTTCATCTTTATTATAAATGCTTTCTTCGCCTCTATTACATACGCACTGTGATGCACTTTTTATTTTCCGAGATCACATTAATAACGAAAATTCATATTGGTTTCGCGCGATCGAAGAAACTTGGTTAAAGTTTTCCCTTTCCCATCATTTTTCTCGTTTTCTTATTCGCGAATCTTTTTGTTGCGCAATTCGAAGCTCGCGCGAAACGACGACCGTCAAAAGCACATCAATTTCCTCTCTTCAAGTACACGATCATGCACTGTGATATATCATAGATATGCTAGACATAGATAAAATAAACTAGTAGCATTTTTGGCGAAATTCTTTTTTTTTTCAAAGAGATTTACATTAACGCTCTGTTCCTTTCTTTTCTGAATATATGTATATCGTAAAAATAATTCACATTGTAATATATAGCAAAGTACATAAATATAAAGTAAGTTATAATTAAGTTTGCAATTGAATTTTTGTTACAAATCATCAATTACTCGTTATATTTTATTTTCTCTAATATTGTCTCGTTTTAAAATTTAAAATGTTCACAAGAATCGTAAGCTTAAGTTGATGCAAAACGCAAAGAAATCAATAGTTGATAAACGGGTCAACCGTTTTTTGTACTAGATCCGTTTATATGGCGACTGCATTATGTACTTATTCTTACAATTGTAATATACAAAATGGTTGAAATATTTTTTTAGTCGGCGATGTCCACTTTCATCTTGTTGAAAGTGGACATTAATATGAAATGGGAATGTTTCAAATCAATTAATATTTATATCCTATCTCGATAAAAGATACCTACTTGATATTTTCCTTACAATTATAAATACAAGTATTAGCCACTTCTGCAAACGCTCGATAGCTTCTAAATCGTCGCGGATATCTTCAGATATAGTAATCGTATTTGACATTGCGTATATGTGTGTGTATGTATGTGTGTGTGGGTGTCTTTCCGTTGTATGCCTGTGTATGTGTATTTATGTGTAATGTGGGATGTGTGTGTGTGCGCGTGTGCGTGTGTGTAATATATATCGATATATCTATTTTGCACGATGACGTCTGATCTTTCTCTCTCTCTCTCTATGCTCGTCAAATGATCCGATAATCGGATAACGAAAAATTTCAACATGCAATTTTAGAAATGATAAAATGTTTATCGAAAAAAAAGATTTCATAAAATTGTATTGTTTCAAAGTGTAAAACTGACTTTTGATACTTATAATGTGATACTTTGAACAACTATTTAACCGATGAAATACTGCAACGTTAATTTTTTCTTCATAAAACTTTTAACTTTTAAAGGAAAACCTTGGAGTCTCGAAGGAGAGCAAATGGATCACCCGCGTTTCCCTTACGACACGGAATAGTCGTATAGAATTTATCGTTTACGATTTTTGTCTTGTTGCTCTTACTGTAATGCAATACTTCTACTCAATCGTTCGTTCACTTACGCCCCTACGCCTTGCGAAAGATTTGAAGAAGAATTCAAAAAGAGCGAGAGAACATCAAAGATACAACTACATGATACAAACGATTGCTCTTTGCTCGTACGGATCGCACAAGCAATCTTTTTTTTATTATATAAGGAATGATTTTTAGTGAAAAATGTCTCGTACAAATGTGCACCTATTTCTTAGCATTAAAGTGCAGGAAGAATTTTAGGAAAATTAAATTAAATCTTTCTTGTGAAAACTAAAAAATCATCCTGTCATCATAAATCATCATAAAATTAGATTATTGAATGATTGAGAACGGAAATATTTATTAACTCACCAATTAAAATAGTGGTGGTGCAGAATCACGATGGAAACTCGTTCGTCATCTTTCACATCTGAAGATGTACTTAACGATGCGCACTAGGTTGCGTATCTTCGCGATCACCTCCTCTTGCATGAGATTAAAACACATAGCGATCAGTGCCATTCCTGAAAATACAAAAGTACACATTACGAGTGATTCTTTGCAAAGTCCATATCGAATATTAGATTAGAGCGAGATTTTAAGCATTGCGGATATTATTGCACCAATTGTTGCGTGAATTGAGAGCACCGTTCGCGCGTATGGAAGCGGTCGAAACATTTAAAAGCACTCGAATATTTTCCACGAAAAATCTGCCCGGCAATCGGATATTGATTGAAACGAACTTAATGCGCTCGCAGCAAAGCTGTACGGCAACGAATGAAATCGCGTTGCAGGATTTAAAGCGGTTGATCCCTTTCAAAACGATTGTCTTCGCATCGTTACGTTGAGCGTCAAAAATTCTGTGACAATCGAAGACAATTATACTTCTTAAAAAATGAAGTATTTTTTATTATAATTTTACTAGCGATTAAAATATACAATTAAATCAAGTGATTTTATATTCTTTCAATCTGTAACATATGATAATAATATTAATAATGAATGTCGTCTTATTTATAAGGGAACGTTTAATTATTAGCGGTTAAGAAGATTTTCTTGAAGGAAGCTCTAAAATAGACTCTTGTATACAAATAATAAGAGGTGTCGTATATGTATATGTAAAACTTACCAAGCATTAGGTACATTGAACACATGATAAAAGACAAATCGAAGGCATGTCCGGAATAGATTTTCTCGCCAGGAACAATATCGCCGAAACCTATGGTCGATAAAGAAACGAAGCAAAAGTAAGAACCATCCAGCATATCCCAAGATTCCCATGTCGAAAACAGAAATGCGCCGCCCCAAATATACCTATCGGACAAAAAGTAAAAAAAAGTGCTGTCAATTCCAGACAATTTTTCTAGAGGTTCTTTTAAATTTTTGAAAGAAAATGACATCAAGTTTAATGCAATGTTAGACTTGCAAACTGATCGAACTGAAAATAAACAATCAATGTTATATTCCAAGTACATCGCGTCCGAAAATTATACTCTGTAATTTTACTTCGTAGAATTTTGATTTGAATAGAAAAGAATTTGGCAATCCCAAAATTATAATTTTTAATTTAAAAAATTATAGACACTTGTAACTTTTCAAATTAAATAATATCAGAAAATCGTAAAAATATTTATTTCATATTAATTTTTAAAAAATAACGTTACACCATATCTTTTGAGTTATTATTTTACTACAAAACTTTAAATGTGTAAAAAAAACTTCCTATCAAGAGAATTTTTTTATTATTTTTTGTTAATTTATTTATCTGTTATATGTTCTTTAAAAGTGAATCTTTTAATTAACCCTATTTCTCCTTATTATCTCGCTCGTCGAGATACTCACCCCACCATAATAGCAAGACAGAGAGTTAACGGCACTGTGACGTGCTGAGGATCGTAGCTGTCACTCTCGTCGTCATCGTCTTCGTCGTCGCCGTCGCTTCCGTTAACTTCTCCGTTGTCGTCGTCTCTAGGTAAAGTTTCTTCTACATTCAAGCTTGACGTATCTACCTCCTCGCCATACGTGCTTACAATCTACAGACAAATTTTCTTTGAATATTCCCTACTTGATATCCTGAACATACCAGAATTCGCTTGTAACAATAAGACATTGATGTATTTGATATTGAAAAAATTTTTCTTTATCTCGATTAGTTTTAGAGAGATATTTCGAATGTATAATAGAAATAATTTTGAGAGATTCTGTATGAAAGCTTTATTCCCTCTAGCATCACGATGCTACTTCGTTATAATGAATTGTAATTCTGGTTGCAACGGTGTCGCTTACCTGCTGCCACCGATCTCTTTTCGCAGCTGGATCATTCGATATCTCCGACGCTCTCGCGCTTGCTGCATCGTATGGTCTTCTTCGGCATCTTGAAAAATCGATCGAGATTAATTCGACGATGACGATTTAAAATCTGATTTTACGATATCGAAAAAGATAGATACTGAAAAGATGAATCGAAATGTAACATATGATACTACAGAAAAGATCAATAGGATTGTGACACATTTTTGCGACGAGCAGAACGGTCTTACTTGCACAAGCAA